AGTCTGCTACGCATCTACAGCCGCCAAAAAACAGCAAAAAATGTTTTCTTCTTCAATTACGCTGTAATTTGTGATTTAATTGCCAATCCACTACAATTGACGCTGCGGTGAAGCTACCTTTTAAATGTCATTCCCCTATAATGTGAATATAGGAGCGATATAATGCTTATTTGAACACATTAAATAATGGTGTAGTGACCCTTGTTTCATACTACATATTATGACTTGAAATTTACTTTGAACTCCCAGCAAATTTCACTTAGTGAATAACCCTGTATGATGTGGCTCAGTTTTCAGCAAAGTGAACTCAGTCTTTCATTCTTCTCAGATGGATAAAACAAGCATGATTCAGTTGCCAATCCACGACAATTTACGCTTTAGAAGACAATTATTCATTATGAAAACAAGCTAAACTATGCTCCTGCTATTCTGCTGAACGTATGCTTCCTGCTAAAGATTATTTCTCTACAGCATGATTTATAGGTGCAGTCTAAGTACCATAAAAACTCCAGCATCTTGAAGTGGCTATGGTGCAAACAGGCTAGAAGTGGAGCCCCTAATTCTATATCAAACCATTATTCTGAGAAGTGTGAAAAATGGGGATCCATGAGGCAGATACTCTAGACAACATAACCACTATATTGTTTTTTTTTTTTTTTAAATGATGCAATGTCTCTTTTGACACAATACCATTTATGACTGGTACGACAACATTCTTAAAATGAATGCACCTGTTTTGAGGGCAAGAGGTTGGCTTAGTCCTTATTAAGTCTTTGGTGTATATGCTATTGGGTGAAAAGTAGTAACACCTGCTAATTGTCAGCAAAGTCAGCTCTGTCTTTAATTTCTGGGGGAGGGGAGTGTTTTTGAAATCTACACCCTAGACATAATTGGAAACTATTAAGCTAAATCAACCTTTCTTGCTTAAATACTACAACCTACAAAGATGGGGTCATTGCCCTATTGTTACATAGATCCATACTAAAAGCACCACACACACTAAAAACAGTCAGCACATGCAACGTATGTGTTACATTTGGCCAGTACACACCGATTACACCCAGCTAACACACACACACACACTCACTCTCTCTCTCTCTATGAGGGAAGACACAAAACTCAAACTCAAATTAGATCTGAGTGGCAAATCCGAACAAATAGCCAGTTGTGACTATAGCTGTTTAATATTTACTTCCAGATCAGCTATTTTGGCCTCAATTCTTCCATTCAGATTTATTTGGCGGAAATTCAGGGTTTAGTAAATAACTTTGTCAATGTGCAGGGCCTAGAGCCCCAGTCTGAAACAATTGTCTATGCCAGGACAAGGAGAAGGCGGCAACTAGTTTGCTGGACAAGTAAATGTTTTTACATTTTTATTATTTTTAAATGTTGTAAAGCACTTTGTATAAGAACTGGTAAATAAATACCTTTAGTACTACCCAGAGAACTGTCTTTATTAGTTACTGGAACACTAAGCACCAAAATCAATACAGTGCAATGTAGTCGATATGGTGTAGAACAGGCTATCCCAAACTTCGGTCCTCCAGATGTTGCTGAACTACAACTCCCATGATTCTCAGCCTATCCATTTCATTCATAGAATCATGGGAGTTGTAGTTCAGCAACATCTGGAGGGCCGGAGTTTGGGGAAGCCTGGTGTAGAACAAGCACGTCAAACTCAAAGTCCAGCACGGGCCAAATAAACAAGGTTTAAGTTTATGTGTACCGCAAAGAAACAGATTTATTTTAAAAAGAACAGTATAAAATAATAAAAAAAAAAAACAGCACCCCCCACTAAATCCTAGCACCCTCCTCTAGCCAACAAGCAGACTCCACTCACATTGCAGTTGCCAGTATGTGACTCCAGAGTCCGGCCTCTGGTATACCCCAAATGGCGCCGCCTGCACAATGTGCCAAAGCTGATCCTCCCGCTACTTCTTGAAACCCTGTGAAGGTGGAGCACATCGACGTCACATGCCTATGTACACCTCCAAGTACTCCACTGTCCAGCCACGGCCATCGCAACACTGACAGACACAGACATAGTTTTCCCCAAGTAAGTAGCTCATTTAGCAGACATTTGGCTGTTAGAGTAGAACCTGCCAAAGATGGGGTACATTGACGTTGTGGCAGGCTTATGCAATGTATGATTATATAACGTAACTAAACTCCCATTATTTTTTGCTTAGATTAGGGTTTTTTAAAAAACTAACAAAATCTGTCAGCACCAAAGTTGCTGTTTAGTAGATAAGGAAGAGCGCTGGATTTTTATTACACACACACACACTGACAGACGCGCACACACACATACTCACTGACACACACACACATTTACATATTCTTGCACACACATCATTCCCTGGGGTCCAGTGGGGATCTTCTATCTGGAGATCTCCTTACTGATCCCTCGTGCGCGGCGTCTGTAGTGATGCCGGCTACCAGAATATTTCATATCATATTCCGGCACCATTACAGACGGCGCAAGGGAGCAGGAAGACTGAGCTCCTCCAGTGACCTCTCCCCCCCGGGTAAATTTTGGCAGAGTGGGAACCTGCAATTTTGAGAAAGCAGGTGCCTACTCTGCTTTAACACTAAGCATGTCTCAAACTTGCTTGGTGTAGGAGTTCTTTGGTGTCTTCCCAGTGTAATTTATCAAATCACCTGAGAATGGTTTAACAACTTACCTGGGCCTTGTCTGGTGCCCATGGCCAGATGCCCTGTTTCTGTCTCCATGAAAATTTGGTTAGCTAAACTGACCTAAGCAGGGCCATGCAGGAGAAAGGCTCATTGGCTTCGAGCGGGAACGCTTTCAGTGAGGGCAGTACTGTACCGGCCCTGCTTTAGCTCTATAAAAGACATCTGACTTCTGCAGGAGATGACCAGATGCGGCACAGATGCTTGAGGGACCCGATTGAAAAGTCAATCTGTTCTAAAATGGTTTGAAAAATTACACTGGGAATGGTGCCAGTTACACCAGCTCACCCCTGACACCATAACCACTACAGCAGGTTTTAGGGGTTATTATATTTTCAGTGTCCCTTTAACTTATTTTACTCATACAGTTCATGCATGGTACATAACTCCAGGCAGAACTTTTCGTGTACTGCTCATCCCTATGATGAAGAGATATGTGTCCATGAAGGCTCTGTGATCATTCGTTAGCACTCCTATTTGGACTGTCTGGTCACCCATTTGTTGTTGTTTTTATATATATTATATATGCTCTTTCTAACACATAAGCAGAGATTGCCACAGTATTACAAGATTCAAATAATGAAACAAATAAGTAACAGATATGAACTCAGGGACCCCCAAATCTGTGTATGTACCTGTAAAGCTAACACCTACCTTGAGCTTGTTCCAGTCCTACCCCTGTGGCAGCCGCTTCCGGTCAGACTGGAAACAGGAAGTGATGAGTAACCGGGGAAATGGATTGCATGGAAAAGAGTTCTAAACGACCGAGACAAGCATTAAGGACACCGAGGCAGCTCTAGATCTTTGCCTACACCAAGATGGCTTCGACATTTAGTTTAAGTCTCTTGTGTTTATATCTGGAATAGGAATTTAAAGCGTCTGTGGTGACGTATTTCCGCTGTAAACACTGGCTGGCTGTTATAAAGGGATGGAGTGGATCTGGGTTGAACTTGTTGTTGTGTTGAGCTGCCAGCTTGGCTATCTTACATTGATTGCAGGCTAGTGAATGTACAGCTTGCTTATTGGAAAATCCCATTTAGGGATACATATAAAATGTTATTAAACATGATTAGCAGTTGTTGAAACCCAAGTTGAAGATATTCAGTGACAAAGCAAGACACATTTAAACCTGACTGATTCTATATTGTAGGGTCTTTTGAGCAGGATCATTTACCTGTTTCTCTTGGTGTTATGAAAATGAGGATAACCCTTGGCTAGTGGAC